GAATGACGAAAAACTTGAACAACAAAACAAACACCTATTTGCGGGGAAGTATCTATCTATCTATTCTATCTGCGGTGCGTCTCCTAGAAGAGCCCTGTACTCTCGGAGAAATACGTGGGGAGTTTTGATAGTCCCTCGGGTTCAATCAATGAGGTTCCTTGTCCTCTTAATCTGCTGGTCTTCTGCCCAGCTAGTTAGAAGGTGAATTGGAGTTTTCTTCTCTTCTAAACACAGCCTGCATGTACTGCTAAAAAAAACTACAATATGCTTTCGGGCAGCCAGGCATCATTGAAGGTTTTGAGCGTTGCCTCAATGGCCTCGATGCTTCTCCAAACCTGCCAGAGGCTGCCATGAGACTGTATCCATGTTAAGGAGTCAAAATAAGGTAATTCTAGACACTGTGACCTGAGAGTCATAGATACGGCATTGCCGCCGAGTCCCGTTATAGTTTTTCTACCCTTAATAGTCACAGACTAGATTGACTGAATTACATTCCGCCAGTTTTGTCGATATTTTCGACACTCAAGTGGCAATCCTAAGCTCACTTTCACAGAGGTAAGAGCCTGAACTGACCTTCTGTTGATGTTTTCGCAAGAACACAACAATATCTCATAGAACTCTACCTGAAATATACTGGGATAGATCCTCAGAGGTACAGATATCTGTGCCTTAGGACAGCTGCCATATATACCAGACCCTGTCAGTTTTGAACTTGTCTAGAATAGTTTCTCCAGCATAGATCCAGTAGTTCTTTGTAGGGATCCACGCTCTGTATGTTGTATAGAAGCATAATCTAGTCTCAATCCTTGCATAGAGATATCATCTTGGTTCCCGCCTGAGACAGGTGGCAATTGTCGGTGCCCTTCTGCCCCCGGCTTGTTGTTCCCCAGCAACTGCAATCTGAGGGTCATATTCCGGGCTTCATCGACGCAGTCGGCATGGATTTCAAAGAATCGGTCACCATTATGCAGTCCAGGCTTTGTACTCGCCCTAGAACTGCCCTGATATTGTGTTCCTCAGTAGATTTTGTAGATAAGTAACATTATGTATATTTCAAGAGATCCTGTCCCTTTGGGTCAAGTTTGGTGCAAGTAATCATTACCTTCAGACCAGCAAATTAATATTTTTTCTTATCTTAATCATATATTCCTAGAATTGGCAAAAAAATATCAAGAGGCTAAAAAATGCTATCAAGGCAAAAAAAAAGCTTTTGTTTGAAACGTGTTTTACTTTGGGCCAAAGAAATTGTTTTTATCTGTGAACAATATTCACTTTAGTCACTGATTAGTGCACACGTCAATAGCATATCAGATATGGTGTAAACATTCTAGAGTAATGAGCAAAACTATATATTATAATCATTGATAATAGTACAAAATGTAATAAAATATAACGAAAAAATTCTATATAGGAAAGAACAATGCTAGTTACAAGTTTTATTGCTTTTCTCTTCTTCCTGATTCTTCTTTATCGTAGTAAAGGTTTAGCAACAGTATCTCATTTGGTGTTCTTGTGCCGTTGGCGTTGCACCTGAGGTATCTACAACCAGAAATTAAAACGTACGTTGTACCTATAGTCAACACATTGACTAAACTACTGACCAACCGCGTACAGAAGAAGTACTAGAGAGCATTTGGTCCACCATGCCCAACTCTTCAACGCTATTTGACTTCTTGACAATCGCATTAAGTATTGCGCAGCTGAAAAAACCGCGATTGGGATTTACGACCGGTATCCTCAAAATTCCTGATCTAACCTTGACAATACCATTAATTACCATGGAATTAGTTCGCTCACAATTCTACTCGATTTCATTTGATGTGGAGTGGATGCAGCTGCTATCGATTTCTACGCGGATCGTTGAATGTTTTTGGTGACGTCACCGCGAGTCTTGCAAAATTAATTAGCGCGAAAGGCCAACACTTTACGATGCCGTAACAGTAGATTAAAGACGGTGTTTGCCCGGCTATAAAATGGCGATTTATCGTCACAGGTAATGCTTGGGGCGTAACCCAGACTCGGATAGTCAAACAGCTATTTTACGGACAGGGAAAAATTGATGTGGCGAAATATACTGCTGCAAAATTTCCCGTTTTTTTTAGCATTTCAAATTACGCAGCATCGAAAAATATCAGATTGGTATCAATGCTTATGGGAATACAGTTTTGCCGAGATAATTGAAAGTAGTTGGACTCTTTCGACGAGGTAATCATTCCCATTCCTTTTCTATCTGCGGTCCTTTATAGCCAGGGCGGTGCATTCACAATTTTCCATACATTATGTCCGCACGTCTAGAGGAGCCCTGTACCCTCCAGAAAGTACAGTACCTTATTCAAGTGGAGCTTGGATAGTTCTTCAGCACAATAAATTGAGCTCTTACTACTACTGCTTATTTTTTGATTTTAAAATACTCTCCCAACTTCGACATGCACCAATTGGTAACAGAGCCTACTCGGATTACAAGTAACTCAAGTTTACTTATTGGTGTACAATTTACGCATGTGTGACAATATTGAAATGATATATCCGTTCACTCTATTGTTTGCAAAAAGACCGCCATCCTACCTCTTTTCGGGACCTTAGAGATTTTTCTTCCTTCGATAATGATTTGTTTATGAATAGTCTTAGGGCAATTAACTGAGATATTTTGTACTCTTTGGATAATATAAGCGTACAAGTGACTTTTCGAAGAATAATATGAATTATTTATTTGATACTCATACCTCACTAAGATGGTTAAAATTAAGAGACCGCCCCTTGACTAACCGAAAGTTTTTAATAAATATTTTAAAATAGGTCACGTTTAAGATTCAAAGGTGTTAAGTCAGAAATTGCTTTAAACGAGTATAGAGAACTAAGAAATTTTGTACACTCTTGGTGAGATTCGAGAAAAGGTATATTTAAGGCTGATCCTAAAAATATTTCGCTTACTTTGAGGAGACATGTGCACAGTGCTTTAAACAATTAAGACTAATCTAGAGCTGGAGCTGTTGGTGGTATTTTATTCTGATTTTCTAAAGTCTAAAGTCCCAGCATATCAGAAACTGCGGCTTAACAACTTCGTTGCTTTCCATGCTATAATAAAATCCTCCCAGATACACAGTCTGGTTTTCTACTTCTTCATCTGTTGATGATATAACGCTGATTAAACTCTTATCTCATACTTTTGGACTATAGCAAAGCGTTCGAACATTGCATCACTTCTTTTTGGCTAAACTGAAATACTTTGGGATAAAGTATACTCTTTCTCTTGTTTTTTTTTCAGAGGCACCAAAGAGTTCTTATGGGAAATAACTATTCACATTCAATTGCTCCCGAGAGGGGATTCTGGGACCTATTCTGTTCTCAGTTTATGCAGCTGCCTACTCTACTTTTTTAAATTCTGTAGATCTCATCAATACGTCGATAATACTCAGTTATATGTTTCCTTTGTTGCTAGTGAAGCTTTAAATGCTGCTATTAAAATTTGGATTTAAAAATAATTTCGGACTCATGACCTCTTATTAAATACCCCTAAGACGCAGATGTTATTTGGAAAGAAAAGTGAAGAAATTAAAGAAATGCCACTCTAGGATTATGATTTGACGATAACTTGCGGTTTTCTAAACACACTGGCTCGGAGTTATAAAAATCCTTCCATAAGTTGAACAGTAAGGAAGTCAAACTTAAACTTGATGATATGTTAGTCTGATCATATCTCGCTTATTGTAGCATCGTCTATTACCCAACTATATTAAATCTAGACTCCAACATCTTCAGAATGCTTGTATCCTTTTACTTATAATCTCCAAAAGTACGACTATATTTCCCAGTACCTATCTGAAACGGGTCGGCTCAAAATGAAGGACCGTTATAAAGTTTAGTTGGCCATCCTGTTTTTGTACGAATGTCGCCACTCCCGTATTAACTTATTTTTGAAATATCTTGATTATTCTTCCTTACGTCAAAAATACATTTTTGTATTTATAAGTGGTCAATAAACGATTATTTATTTATTAATAAAGAGAGTATATTATTATTCTTACTATTATATAGAAATTTGTCAGAGCCAGAGGATGCGAACAATAAAAATAGAATTAAAAAAAGAATGCATATGAACGGATTGCTCAGAAGAGTAAGAAGTAAGGAGAGAGAAGGAATTATAAAAAAATAAAAATCCTGACGCCAGCCAGTTAATAAGAATAAAAATACATTGATTATTGAAAAAAATGTGTTATTTTTTGCTTCATCATAAGGGTTTTGGGTTGATTTCAGTTTTCTTTTCATTCTTTTAGACTCCAAAAACACAACTGAAACTTAAATTCGACCATCCGAATGGCGCAAAACTGGCTCTACACGTATTTTAATCGGTTTTTGAATACAGAAAACCTTCCGAGTGACACTCATAAGGCGTTTAATTCGGGAAAGTTCTTGACGCATCCCCCAAAAGTAGATGACACAGGCTGACGTCCAATTACTTATTCATCCGTCCGCCCGAAAACCGAAACGGTCGCGGAAATACGAGACACAATAAAAAACGAATTTTCGCGGTGTTTAATTGCCGCCGCTCCTCCAATCTTCTTCCTCCTCTACCGCCTTTAACGCGGACGGTGGTGTTTTCAACGTTGCCGCCCCATCTTTGCAACTTTATGTCGGTTCTCGTTTAATAAGACAAGTATTTACTTCATCCGATCATCCCATATTGATAAATGTTCTTTCCAAAACATTATTTGAAAACGATATCTGACGAATTAGATACACTTTTCACGATAACAAATCGTTATCCCACTTCTGACAATGTTTCCCGCGACGCGGGAAAATCGGCAAGAATCGGCAACGGCGCCGCCGACGTACGGGTTAAAGGCGCGGGGGTGGAAGCGGTCGCGGGCGCCGACAGAGACGGAAGGACTATTGACGTAACAACGGAAGGAGCCGAGTATGCGCGATCGCAAACGCTCGCTCTTTTCCGAGTTATAATGCCGCGGCGGATTCAGAGTTGAGTTTAGTTTCGTGCCGGACGAATCCGGGATCAGACGGGTTCTGGCGGGCCACCCGGAGCGTACGACGCGGTGGTGCGAAGTTGTGCGCGTCTGGTGTCTCGTTTCTTAGTTGATTTTTGGTTTATTTTATCAGTTTTACCCTCAGGCATCGATTTGACGTAAGTTTAGGTTAGACTGAGCGTCCTAACTTGAAAACTCGAAGTTAAAAGATTTGCCAGGATTAAATTGATTGGAATTGGGACATTTCGTGACTGACCGGCGTTGATAAATATATTATTGGGAATACCTCATTTAATATTATTATTTCTTTGCCCATCGACGGCCCTTAAATTGCCTCAGGTATCACTTGTCAATTTTTGCGACTCCACATTTGGGCGAAATAGATTTTCAACTTTTTAACCAGTAATCTTTTGATGGAAACACTCTTGTACGCGGCAACACAACCGAATCCATACGACCGTATTTTATTTGATACTTTGTGTACTCTTATAATATCGTCCAATCCTCTTTTATCGAATTAAATGAAGACCTACAATTTTTTTATGAAATTCGTAGTTTTAGTTACGTTGGAATTAGTTTTCCCGTATCTAGACTGAACAAATGATAGAAAAGAGTGATAAAAAAACGAGACAGACTACGCGAAGAATTCAAGCGCTTCCACGAAGACGTATAGGTTTGTTTTGGTCTGGTTCGAGACTCCTCAGAGAAATGAAAAAATATCTTTTAAAATGAACAATGCACCGAAGAAATCCTTAATCGAAGTTACGCGTCCCGTGGAGTGTTTCTTTAGTTGAGGGGTATATTCTTTGCACTGCGAAGATTGTAATGCGGTCTGTAGCGGGCAGTCTAATACAAGGGAAATGTGACCAAATCTGCTTTAGCTACCCATCTTTTGTAAACGATGCATGAAATTTCTCCTAATAAAAACATCAATATCCTACATGAGAAATTAGATTGACCAAAGCCACAATTTCTTTCATAACTTTGCCATTGCAATTTGCGCGTGTATGCGTTTGGGTTGACGTTTTTATATGTCTGATGATGCCCGTGTAGGCGAAACGTGTGTAACTTTCAACAATAATAATGAGACCTTGAATTGCGAGTACTATTGGATTTTTAGTTCTTAGAAACTTAATGCTGGTTTTAAATTGAAATATTTGTGCATTATGGATGAGGAAATATATCGAAACACTGACGCTCGCAATGACGATCTTCTTAAGTCTATAAACACATTAGAAAAACCAAATGAATGATATTATTATTTTATCTCAATAGGAACAGAGTTAAGAGTAAAATTTCAAATTAAGTATAATGTCTACGAATGGCAATCAGTTTCCAATACTTGGCTTTTCTCCTGTCACTTTCCGATCATTTTTGTAAAATATTTTCCCATGTCCATCTCTATCGGATTTCGAAATATTTGTTGTTTTCCACATTTTCCTGCTGAAATGTTGACTACAATTTGCCAGTATTCTGGATGTCACTTCCATGTAGAGTAATTATTTCTGTGAAACACAGAGTAGAGCGATATACATCATGTTTTTGTGTTAACCAAAATTGGTAAAAGTACTTTTTTTTCAAATGGATTTCCTTATTTATTAGGATATATTCTGGCGGATAGAGCCTTTTTTTTAATCCATACATCAGGTGCGTATACCTCAATGTCTTCTTTTTCAAATGAAAAGAAATAAATATGATTAATACTAGCAGGTAATATTTCTAAACTTCTTGACATTTTCAGTTATGTAAAAATTTAAATTTCTTTACATTCGTAATTTGTATGTCGATTTTACTAAACTGATTTAACAACATATTGTATAGATCAATTTATTAAGACCACTGACATAGAAACTATCCAGTTGCTTGCATAACACCCGGCAGTCTAACTATCACCGATTTTTGGATTTTCTTATCTTATGAATTTAATTATACTTTGTTAGAAGAAAAGTAGATTTTGCTCAATTTCTAGTTTTTCCCGACCTTGCTGAACTAGATCAGAAGAGCATGGCTAAATCGTTAATAAATATCAAAAACAATAATCGTCTTATAATAAACTCTGCAATTGAAGGAGCGGGTCGGCGGTGCATCAACTTTCGCTACGAATGCGGAGCGGCAGGTAAATCCAACTTCAGCGAAATCAAAACTCCGGGTGCAGATCCGGATTTTGTTCCCACGGATTATATTCTGATTTTTTTTTCTCGTAACTCGATTCGCAAGTCCAAATTTGAATGCGACTTGGGCCTCGCGGTCGATGTCGATCCGTTTTCAGCCTCTCGAAAGATGGCAGCAGTAACTTAAGACGTATACAGGGTTACCCACGGTCAAACCTTATAGGTTCGTTCTACGTCGGCCATAGGTTAAATTGTGGTCACTTTGTAGTCCCTTTGTATACCAAATTTGGTTTCATTACTCTGCACCCTTCTGAAATAGACTATAACATAGATTACACACGTAAAAATAAGATTGTAAAAGTCTTGATTTTTTTTCCTTTTCGACCTTCGGTCCTGAATAATATAATAGGTCTGAATCGATTCTCTCCTGATGAAAATTTGAGAGGGATGGTCAAATATATGTGGCGGGAATGAAAATACGGCGAGAAAAATTTGCCCTTGGGATATCAAAAATACGTTATATTGCGTCTCAGGATACGACATCCTATCTCTTGAACTGTTGAAAGTCCCTGGCAGTTTTATTGCGGTGTTACATTTTACAACGTCAGTTGTCGACAGGCTCGGATAAATCCTTCCCCATAATAAGCAATGCGTTTCGAATTTGCGGGAATTTACCCCACAGAGGCAATTTTTGAGGGCCCTTCTTTTGTCGGAATGTTGCTTTTTAACGGGATATTTAAAATTTAATTTTTTCTGGGATTAAAAAAAATATCAGCTTTTTTTGAAATGCCCAGAATAGCGAACCAAAGCAAACAATCGTAAATGATCAACTACTTTCAACTCGTGTGATAAAGTCAATCGCGATTGATATCATTGCATAAGAACTTTGCACCTATTTCATAATTTACGACACAAATCACTTCTTTGGGACGTAATTAAAATCTCATAATATAATTCTGCACAATCATTATAATAAAGAGAGACACTTCCTGCCAGCTCTCCCGTGCTCTTCAAGAACACTTATTAGCACTTGGCGAATGCGAAAATTAATCAAACTCTTTCACATAAAATAAAGCCCTGTTTATTTATTTTATGTCCAAGTGTTTTTCTGGAACTTCTAGCTATGATCACCAAGTAAAGCAATGTGGGTGATCCCAACAGCGAGACGGGTGAGAAGGCGCATTACACCAAATAACTGGTATGTCGTTATGTAAGTTTTGATTAGTAAATCAATGACGCGTAAATCCGGTGTACCAGCTTTATGAAATCCTTGAAATCTTTGTTATCTGTGGAATTTGTCTGCAATCATAACGTAGTTCTAAAGTTTTGTTAGAGTTTTCTTGACATTAAATAAATCGTATTTTAATAATGGAGCAATTAATAATTAATGTAAAAAAATGCCAATGTGTTATTAAATAACTATTTCTATTTTGGGGTCTAAGATGTCACCTAACTAATTCTGACACATAGCAGTTACCTCACCTACTACATAAGCATAAGTATTATGAAATGAAACGAATTGGAGGTGTGTTTCATCTGGATGATCTTGAAGTATTCACCCATCAAAAATTCATCTGCAAATCCTCCGTTCATTTGTCGTAGTTCAACACGCGGTATATTTTGACACTGACACTGAATACTATTTTCCACTTTTTGAAACGAAGAAATAGAAAAATTTTCTACGCGACCTAAAAAATCTGGGAAATTTTATAGTAAATAAAAAATTTCAGTCATTATGTTCCGAGTAGTCAGATGGTCTTTGGAGTGCGGGAAATAATAAGGGATTCTTTCCAAGAAGATGTGGACATTTTTTTGATTTTCTTGAGTGATAGCATACCCAGGAGGAATATATTGGAACTAGTTTTTAAAAACATCAGCGTTCCTGTTTTCATCATAGTCTCTAGTCCCTTTTGATTGAAATCCTAGTAAGGTACCGCCGACAAATCCTGTTTTGTTAAAATTGTGTAATTATTAATTTTTTACCTCTTTTCAAGGGTGATTTTATTCCAGTGTATCATCCTTTCTTCGAAGCGCATTTTAACTTTTTATCCTGACATGTTTTCTTGTCGCAACTGTTCTTAAATATCGCCATCGCCAGGAGATCATTTCGTCGTTCTCTATTAAAAGTTACTTTTTGTTCTGAGATTTTCTGTAAGGAATATTGATTTCTCTCCTAGTTTTTCACAATTTCTTTGGTGGAATTAAATCATGAAATTGTCCTTTTTTAGTTCCGGTATTATTTTGTCCAAGGTAGGTATTTCTTCCTTTTGATAGTTAATAGTTTCTTATTTAAGTAATTTATCAAATGAAATAATAAACTTAAGCAACCTCAAACATTTTAAAACTAATCTTTTTCAAAAACTACTGGTCGAACAAATTAAAAAAAATTCTAGGTAATTGAAATGAAATATTATTATTGTTACTTCGTGTTTGATTCTCGGGGAACACTAGTCATTTTTGTTTGATACCACTTACGGAAATTTACGTACTTTTTTTTTGTCCTCTGGTTCGATAGAATGGTATTTTGTCTATAATTGAAATAAAGACCCTTATTATTATTTTTATTTTTATTAATAATAATTGTCTCACTTTTAGAAAGCGAGATTTTACTAATCCGTTTCTCAGCAACAGATTCAACACCAGTCGCTTTTTACAAAACTTCTGGATTCCTCCTGCGTCGATTTTTGCTTAGTCGAAATTGCTGACGTTTCGCCAATCACCCTGTTGGCTTCTTCAGAGCTTGACTGAAACTGGCTCGTATTTTATTATGTACCTGCTTATATATTGTTTGAGGGGGGCGGAGCTAAATGAGGGGCATAAACACCGTCTCGGGTGACACCCATATTACTGACAGGTAGAGACCTGAGTCGCTGTTAAGATTGTTAGGTTGTTTGCAGATTTGTATAGACTTTCGGATTTTTCGTTGGTAGAAGAACTGATTACATGCAAGAATTTTAGTTTTATCAAATAAAATTTTATGCCCGGTTTCATGAGTGTGTTCGGCAACAGCTGATGAGTTTATTTGTCTTAGTCGTAAGGCTCTTTCG